ACAGGAACTGGGGAGGAAACAGGAGCTCACCCTGTTTAACGCAAAGGCTGGGCTCGAACCACTGAAGCGTCGACCATTTCTGGCCAGCAACTTTCAGCGTCATTAAGCCGCTGTGCCACCACGTCCCCTGATTGCATATTATCTTGATTTTAATAAGGATCTACATTTTAAAATTGATATAAGATATTTTAATATGTAGAACCAAGCTAAAGTTGCTTTCAATTTTTAAATTTATTTTATAATATTGTATTGTATATCTCTTCCCTATTTACTTTTTTATTTTTCCTGGCTATTGATTGATTATGTGGCACCAAGTCGGGGTCCATTCTTAGCAATCGCAAAGATTGACCTTCTCCAGGATGATCCATCCTCAACCTGGCCCTTCAGGTCCCCCGGTGGGGCACCCATCACCGCTGCAATTGAGCCCCTCCACCTTGCTGTTGATTAACCTCTTCTCTTTCTTTCAACCTTTCCTGGTATTATGGACTTCTCAAAAGAGCTGGGTCTTTGCATAATGTGTCCTCCAAAATATGACAATCTGAGCCTAGTCATTTGTGCCTTTGGGTTGTTTGGTTTGGTGATCCACTGGTTTGTTTTCTTGGCTGTCCATGGTATTCTCAGGAGTCTTCTCCATCACCAAAGTTCAAAAAGGTCAATGTCCTACTTCTTCAAAGTCCAGCTTTTGCTTCCATAGAAAGTCACAGTGAAAACCATTAACTGCATGGTTCTGATCTTTATGGGTATACACACATTACAGCATCTAATTATCTTACAAAATCTAAGTAATACCTATCTAGGGCTAGTCTGCAGTGTACTTCTTGACTGCTGTTACTGCTGATAACCAATCCTAAAAGGCAGAAGCTATTAATAGTGATAATGTGAACACATTTTCTCCTGTATGCTTTTTTTGGCAACGTGAGGGTTGAAAAATGAATGTGTGTGCATGTGTGTGTCCATGTGTAGAGTTGCTTGTCATTCAGGCCACCTTCAAAGGTGCAACCTGTTCCTACTAGGAAGAGGAAAACACCACTATAATTTGAACACCACCGGTCCCTCCTTCCGAAGGCGTCCACTGTCTCTAACAAACTCTGATTCTCTGCTGCCATCAACTTCGACTAGAAAAACTAAAACTGAATAGGCTTTTATTTTAAAACAAATAAAATCTGAACTTGATGCCACCACCAGCATATTCATAACCAACCTGACATTTCTTACAGAACTCTCCTATAAATAACCTCAAGAGACAGACTATTAATTAGCCTCCCAAGGCTTAATTAAAATGCTATATATCTGTCTGAACAAAAAGCAGGATGGAGGAAGCAACAGCAACCACTGGAACTGGGGCACGGCGACAGTTGTCCAGGGCGATCTACAGCTGCTCGCTGCTGATAAAAAACCAGATACCTAATTTTCAGCAGCTGCAGTTCCTTCCCCACATCATGCAAGGGAGTAAAAAATGAATCACTGTGCAAGGCTGGTTTTAAAAAGAGAAATGGATAAAGTCAATCCTTTTTCAGGGAGGATAGAGCCAAGACCCCATTGCACCTTCAGAAGAAAAACACAACTGCAATTTGGACAAGGGCACTCTCTAAACAACCTGCCCAACTAAAATAGGATTAGGAAACAATTTTTGCTAAGGCCAAATAGAGACTTGCAGTAGTGCCTTTAAATAAGGGCTGCGAATGAGCCTTCCTGATGGGAACACTCATGCACTATCACCAGATGACATGTGATGTCTGCTGGCTGGCCACTGTGAGGTTCATTCATACATGCATATAGGTCACAGAACCCTGGCAGCCAAATGTGTGAATGGACCCGATCAGAGAAAAAAATATTAAGTGATGTCTGGGAGTATGCAAAAGATCCTGCAGAAAATGGTTCAATCGTTTAGCCACATAATCAGCGCATACAATATTAGGGCTCTGGGAAGCTTTGTTTCGGAAATTCAGTTCAAAGGTGATTTGCTCAGTTTTCCAGCTGAAGCAACTTTCTACACTATATTGACTTTTGGAGCTGAATTGATTCGAGAATTCAATTCAAAACATCAAACTGACTCAATGTTACAAGTCAAATCGGCAATTTGACTTGACAATACAAATTGAACTGATCATTGGAATCAGACTGGAATCAATGTTCACATGCCCAATAAACATGCACGTGAAAAGAGCAGGACCCCTTCTCCCATATTCATCTGCCTGTCCAATCAGCTTGAAGAGGGTCAACTCCTTCCAGGTTCTGTCTATCTAAGAATGCCATCTGACAGAACCTAAGAAATTAGCAGTTTTGATCACTGCCCCCTGCTTTGGAAATGCCTCCCAGGGAGATCAGGTCTACCTCTTCTTTCTTGGGTTTTGGAACAACAATTAAGACCTGGTTTTTCCACCCCACCCAGGAAGAAAGCAAGCTTTGAATGCTGGGAGGCACTGGTGGGCACAGGGCTTTATGTGTGTGTACTGTATATATCCTTTATCCTGTTGACATTTTTTTTCCTAGTGGGCTTTATTTATTTTTAATGATCTTTCTGATTGTTAGCCATCCAGAGCTTTCAGGGATGAATGCCATACAAATATAGGAAATAAGTAAATACCATGCCCTTTAGCCAATCCTAAGTTTGTCCATTAATCAAGAGACATGCACATTTTGCCTAAAGCCACCCCTTGAAAGTTGTTATCTCTGCATGTTCCACCACAGCCTCTATTCCTGTAGGCCAGTGTTTCTCAACCTTGGGAACTTTAAGCTGCCTGGGAAATTCTGGGAGTTGAAGTTCACACATCTTAAAGTTCCCAAGGTTGAGAAACACTGCTGTAGACTCTTGTTAAGAGACTTGCAGTGGTCCTTGCACCTCAAAAAATAGGGACAGATTTTGTTTCACCATCTTCTGTTTCAGTCTTTTCATGCCCATTTCTTCCATTAAAGGTTTCAAAGCAGAGGTAGTCCTTGGGTAACGACCATTCGTTCAGTGACCGTTCAAATTTACAACAGCACTGAATGAGTGGTCATTATAACCGGTCCTTGGAGTTCTGGCTGTCACAGTATCTCCGCATTCACGTGATTGCGATTTCTGATGTTCCCTGCTGGCTTCCCCCCAGTAAAGTCAATAGGGAAGCTGGCAGGAAGTTGGAAGTCACTGTCACATGAGGTCTTTGCTTAATGACCCACGGGATTGCTGTCACTAAGTGATGTGGTCACGTGATGTCACCCTTTATGACTGCATCACTTAGCATTGGAAATTCTATCCCAGTTGCCATCATAACCCGAGGACTATCTGCATTTACTATTTTTTTCAGTGATGGAATGGTAGGAGAATATGGAGCCATTAAAAACAAGACAACTCAATCCTGGGGAAGTAGAAAGCACGAGAAAGACGCTCAGAACAACTCTGCCCTGATTGTGCTAGGCATAAGTCAAAGTAGAGAAGAGCTGTGACAGGCTTTCAGGATTCTCTTACAATACCCAAACTGCATTAAAGTGTTTTCCAAGATGGCTAGTGACTCCTGTTCCTGACCTTGTCTACCTCAAAAGGCGGACATTTTCCCACATGAGGTTTTAGATCCTCAGAGCCCCTTCTTTCTTCCCTTAATTCAAAGACTGGCTGCTGAGCCTGAACAGGCCAAAGCCTTCGTCAGCTTGGCTGTCTGGAGAACCAGGGACTAGATGATTTGGAGCCACTTTCCTTTTTGATTCATGTTGACCAAAGGAGAGTCAAGCCTAGCAGATACAAGAGACACATGTTTTGCGTGGACTTCACCTCCAAAGCAATTATTTAAGGAAAAGCCTCAAGGACTTTGTCCATTACATTGAGGTTTTACTGCAAATTATTCTGCAAATGAGATAAAATGATGCGCATGATGTAAATCCAGATTTCACAGACAGCCTTCCCCCACCCCAGTAAAATTGAGATTGAAATTGAGATGAAACTCCGAGCTACAGGGAGGGGATTTGACAGAGGAGGCATTGCTTGGAGAAGTTTGCCATGGCTGCGTTCATTCAACTTTTCCAACCTTAAACCTTTGTTAACAAAACCCAGTTCATATGGTTATAAGATACTCCCACACAAGTAAACCTTATAAGACATGCTGGCCTATTTCATATAGCATACTAAGGCAATATCTGGAGTCCTACAGCACAATACAGGCTTCATACGGGCATAGGTGAAAATCTCAGCTTTCTGGGCACAGATTCTCCTATATTCCCTCCCTGAGCAGTAAATGCCCCCGTAGACATGCCAATCCTACCAGGGGTATCCAAAAGAAGAGTTCAAAACCAGCAAGAAGGAAGTCAGAGTGTCACAATTCCAGCCCTATTCCCTTTCTATAGGCACATTCAGGGGTGGGGCCTGAATTGCAACACCATGTGTCAGAGTCTGCACACTCATTCCCAAAGTTCAGTAAATCCTCTGGACTCTAATTTGTTCCAATTAACAATTATCACCTTTAACCCTGTCAACTATGCATCACTAATCTACATTCAATTAAGCTTTGATTTCTAGCTTGCGCAGATCCTGACACCATGCCTGCCAACACGCCTGTTTTGACCCCCCCCCCCCAAACCCCACTGATACCCATTAAAATAATCAAGCTGGAGACCAACATTCACACTGCAATCAAGACATAAAGGCTACTCACCACACAGCTCCTTAGTATCCACGTTACTGGGAAACAAGGGAAAGAAGAAGAAAAATCAGAAAAGAATGAGAATGTGGAAAATTTAGCTCCAAACAATTCTCAACCACTTAAGCAGAAAGAACCTGGTGGTATCTTTAAAGGTGTTTACCGATCGCTGCTCTCTTTGAAACCTGGGCTTCAAAAGTCACATACCAGGGCTTTTTCCAAACAAGCGTTGCTAAACTAGTTCTAATTGATTTTACAGTGATATGAGTACAAGAGAACCTTGTTCTCTTTGCTAACAAATTCATGAATAGCAAGATAATCAGTTAAGCAGTAAAGTCTTCCTTGTGCACATATTGTTCGCCCCAGTATTGCTGGAGATATAGGTAGGAGTTCAGGGATTCTGGAGCCCTGATGCTACAACTGTGATTGCGGTTTCGTTTTAAAATAAAATAAAAACCTGCAACCTATAGGAATGACTGAGCAGGTTTGAATAATTCCCCTCATATGGTATGCATTTGGTATTTTGTTGAAATTATTTTGGGTTATCTAATCAAGAGACAAGTCACGTTGCATCTGAGCCTTGAATGCAAATCTGTAGGTTGCTCATTGACCAGCAGGAAATAACATTAAAATGATAAAAATTTACAGCCATTCCAATAGGAACAGTCTAGACCAGTGTTTCTCAACCTTGGCAACTTTAAGATATGTGGACTTCAACTCCCAGAATT